ACTGAAATAACTTTTAGGTTGGGGTTGACTTAGTTGCCATGGTAACTAAATAATCAAGTCAAGGTCAAGTTAAATCAAAAAATAAATTTTAATTATTTAAACACAATTTGGTGTGGAATTTTCTTACCGAATACCACACGAGGTCAAATTAAATCCGGAAATTTTTTCTCCCTCATGAATATTTTTAGAAAATTATCCCTCGTCTTCGACTCGGGATAATTTTCAAAATATTCATGAGCTCGAAAAAATTTCCGGAAATAATTTGACCTCTAGTGGTATTACTAGTGAATATACTATCAATTTTTTCTTAAAAAAAATCATTTAAAAAAGAACAATACTATGGTATTATATTAGAAAAGAACAATACTATAGTATTATATTATATTTATCTTTTCTAGTCAGTTATAACTATAGTGTTGGGAAAATTTCACTTTTTGCTTGTACTTGAAATTTCACTTGAAATTTTCATGACATTTATGAAATTTATGAAATTTATTGAAACTTTCAATAAATTTCAATCACTTTAAGTGTAATATATTAATATTGAAATAAGCCCACTCGGGGACCATGGCAAATTGCCTCTCTTACCTCCTACCCCTCTGTGGGCCCCTGCACCAATAATATAAATAGTAAATACCTATGTTTACCACAAATTTCTTGAGATTTCCTTTTAAAATATTATAAAAATTACTAAAACTAAAAGAGATATAGCACTTTTTGCTAAGCTAATGAGATTGTGCCACTTTCATTATTTTATATTTATATATATTTATTATTTTTAAATATTTTACTGAAATTTTACGAAAATTGAAGAAACTTCATTAAAATTTTATGTGCCAAAGGCATTTTTTATCTGTTTTCCGATGCAATTATAGCAAAAGTAAAAGTTTAAATTAATCATGACTTTTAAAAAAAATTTAAAGTCTGATTTAATTTACAAATTAAATTGATAATTGAATTAAATTATTTAAATTAATTTATGCATATAAGTAACAATAATTACTTATAGTGTATTCAAATCCAAGCCGAACTAAACAAAAACGCCCAGACGCTTGATAACTCGTTCTTATTGGTCGATTCGGAATCTGTTGTAAATTATTATTTATTATGCGAAATTTTCAGTAAATTGCGAAACTTCAATGAAATTTCTGAAACTTTCACAGGCAATGTTGAAATTTTCGGATTGAAAATTTCATTTGAAATTTTTAAAAATTTCACTTTTCCAACTAAATGAAATATTTCAAGTTTGAAATTTTCAATTGAAAATTTCAACTGTCCAAACCCTAGTTGTATTATACGCTAAAGAAGTATCGGGTTTTCGCAACGCGCGCGCCATCTGGTGGACTTCAAAAGCATTGCGTGAATTTAAGAATTGTCAACAATCATTTAAAGCATACGAACTGTACATCATTTTGAAATAAATAGGTTTTTTCACAAAAGAGAGGAAGGCAGAAGTCTTCCTCGACAAATTTTGTTCAATTGCACAGCTAAATCGCGCACGTTATTTGTGTTTTACGTTGCAAGGAAAAAACTAACTGGTTTAGTACTCGATTTTGATTGATTATTCTTTATATCATTGATTAAGAAACGCTTAAATGCTTATATAGTTACGTTAGTGTGTGTATTTTAGTTAAGGGATCATGGTGAATTATTGTGTTTTTAATTTTAAATAAAATTCAAGAACTAAATCGTTGCATTTTCATGTTTTGCCAAAGGATCCAATTTGGTAGGTACATTTGTTGGTGCAGAATTAACTAATGATAACTTTTCCTAATATAATTTATATTTAAGTTTGGACATTTTTAAGAAATTAGTAAAAAATAATTCTTGCACAAACATAGCCTTAAAATCAACCATTTTTATATTTGAGTTCTCTAAAAAAACGCCGACAACTGCATATTAAACAACAAAATATACCTACGAATTTATGGCAACATAATATTATATAGGTATAATACATAATATAATGGTATTTTACTGTTGAGTGAAGACTTTAAAGAATTCTTAAACAACGCTTTTAATAATGCTAAATACTGTTTAAATTTAGACGACTTATTTGTTTGACCATTTTTACTGAATTGAAATGTTTACACTTTTCACGTTAATAACTACTAAAATGTGTATTTAGGTACAATTTATATTTACAGAGACTGTATGCAATTTATTTCTTCATTCAGATTAACACTGTTTATTGGAAAACCAATAAAAACTCAACCCAGGATTTCCTCTCGAAATACACCCAACAACACAACAAATAGAGCAACGGTGTTTTTTTTCGATATTTTTTAACATTTTCCGGTGTTTTTCTCAAAAAACACTCGTTTGTACCATGAGCGTTTGACAGCTGATTATTATTATTTTTGGCTAGTTCATTTTTAGAGAGCAGAGGCCTACCCTGACCAGCCGCAACTGCAATACACTGTTCAAAATTTCATGACCATTTTAACACCAAACATGGTCTATATCGATACAAACCAAAATGGTGTTAAATATGGTTCGTTGGTCCAGTGTAAATTCAAATACTAAAATGGTGTAAATTTAACTTTCACACAGTATTAAAATAAATTTTACCTGGTGTAAATTGAACTCCTTTTCAGTGTTAAATATTATGTGTTTTTGATCAAATTAAATAATACTACACAGAAAAAAAGGAAACAGGAAGTTCCTTGACGCATTACAAGTATATTACAAGTGGTATTATTCCAGAAAATTGAACCTTCAACTCGCTAGAGATAATGATTTTAGTGCGTTCCACCAACTTAAAATACTTCAAATATTGACAGCTGTTTCCACCTATTTAAGGTCTCTTTAGTATCGAACAACTTGTAGTGTCACACCAAAGCAAAGGACTACCTGAGCTTATATACTCTTCATGTAAGTCAACCGAGGCGAGATTTAAGAACATCACGTGATCCACACCGCCTTTGCCGCGATCGGTACACACTATGCAACCAGGAATGCACGGCAAATTGTTTTAATCGTTTTAACAGAGTGCTTTAGGTTGAAGTAACTCTTATTTTACAAACAACATATTTAGTAAACTGAACCATACAGCGGGTTGGTTACACTAAAGTTTTCTGGGTTAATTTAACCAATTTAAAAAAAATAAAATAACTATCTGGTTTAGTACCGTCAAACTAATCTTTGTTTATATTAACCTTCCCACAGTTGATAAAAAAAAATACTTATGGGTCAACTAAATTAATATAGTTAAATGAACTATTCCTTTTTTTCTGTGAAGGTGCACTTCTCAAATATTTTTAGATAAACACCGTTTTGGTGTTTGCTGTATATAACATTTTCAACCATAATTCATGGTGTTATATTAACACCACTTGGTGTTGGATTTTGACACCATTTTGACACCATTTTAAACAGTGTAGGGTCTCAAAACATCGCCCCCTCAAAGCCGGCACTGCCTTCCTTCCAAGTCAAAGTAAATTTAATTAACTATCGCAATGCCAAAACATTAATTACTTATTTTAAAAATTAGCAACGGTTTGCAGAAATCATAAAAATATTTTCAGCCAGGTATATTGTCGTTTATGGGACGTGTCAGCCGTACGAAGTGCCTATCAGCCAGATTAATTCAACGCACCGTGATCGCACACCAATTACATACAATTATTAACTTGTAAATTAACTGCACTGAATTTAAACTGTTTATTTATACGTTGAAATCGTTTTTGTTCGGTCGCCCGACATTTCTAACTGTTCGTATTTTCCAGCGGATTGTTTACAACAACACAGTGGCGGCTCGTCAGGGTAGGCCTCTGAAGCACACAATCCAAAACCTGTTATCGATTCACTACAAAAGCTTCTGCACAATTTAATAAAAACACAAAGAAAATAGTGAGTCATTTAACTTGAAACTTTGAAATATCTCATTCAGTATGCATTTTACGAAAACATGTTTAAAATAAAATCAGTACTAAAATTGGTCCTCATACTCTCCTCCTTATAGGGGGAACAGAGGGTAACTTTAAAATTTCCAATGGAACACCCTATTTTTTAGTGCAGATTCGGATCATTCGACTAAAAATAGGTAGATTTTGTCTAAATAGTTATATATGTCATTAGGTTAAGTAAGGCTTTTTGTGCTAAGCTCAAGGTTTGAGCGAAGCACAAAAAGGCACTTCTTGGCCGAATGGCATACAACATTTTCAAAGCACTTTATATAGGTCAATTTAATTCAACATCAAAGCGGCCTAACCTCACTTTTTTAGAATCTCATTTATTTATTAGCTAAAGATTACATTAAATGTACAATAATTATTATTGCTTTTAGAAGCAGTAATAGTTTGACAATACCTAGCTACATGATTTAAGTAGAAATGGATTTTTGCTATTACATTGAATTAAATTAATTGTTTAATAAATAGGTAGGTATCTAATTTCAATTTGTTTGGATTTTTATTTAAAAAATAGGTAGTTTGGAATGTTAAAGATGTGTTTAACATTTAATTTCACTGAAAACTTAAAGCAAATAAAAACTTAAAGATAATTTAAATCGTAGAAAAAGAATCGTGCGTTTTCTTGGTTGCCTAACATCACTTTTTGTTTTATCATTCATATTTAATTTTACAATAATTTAATGAAAAATATTAAACATTAACAGTTAAACAAACAAATTAGTGCTTAATATAAATAAATTAAACCAGTTTAGTACGTTAATTTCTTAGAAAAGGATTAATTTGTCAAAACAATACCCATAGCGAGAAAAAATCGAACTAATTACTTGCCTCATAAAAATTTTTATCGGCCTAGGCCATAACAAGGTATTTTTTTATCGACTGTTGACAACAATAAAGTTTAAATTATAGACCGCGTAGAGATAAACATTTTTTCATATTTGTAATAGATGGCGCTGTAATGAAAAAAAATCAGTTTTTTTCGATTTTTCTTCTGTATACGATTCTCAAATAATTTTTGAATAAAATACTGGGTTTTATTTTTCAAATTTATTTATTTATTTCGTTTTAATAGTCTGCAAACACTGCTCTGGGATATTCCTAAATCTCTAGATAATTCTCGTGTGCTTGCATGAGGATTAACGGCCGTTGCTGCCAATACATTAATTTCACTATTTCCACCTGTGACTGTCGACGAACTCTTTTCTTCGGTTGAACACTCCCATTTGTAGTAAACTGCTTGACTGTACGGTGAAATAAAGTACGTGATCGAATTTTATCCGGAAAACGCTGAGCGTAGATATTAACAGCATAATCAAGATTCCTGCCTGCTTCTCCATAAATCAAAATCATTTCTATTCTTTCTTCCACTTTTAAAAAATCCATTATGAATAACTGCTTAACGAAAGGAGGTCTTTTTGTTTGCAAATTAATCTTCGAACTAATTTGATTAAATAATGCTAAACCATGTATAAATAGTTTATTTATACCTCAATAATAATTATTATTTATAAATATATACCATTTTTTTATACCTCAATTAGGATTAAATTAATTAATTGACAAAATAATGTTTTTTTACCTTAAATGAGGTATTTTTATTAAAAATGGTACAATAATCCTAAAATTAATGGATTTAATGCCGGCAGGTAAAAAGTGACCATGGTTCGCAATTGATAATTATCACCGAATGAAATAATGTAAAAAACTTAAACCAAAGGAACTTAAATATTAGTTAAAATCGTGGGTTTTAAAAAAAATCAGATTTAATTTAATAAGATAATTATTACCAAAAAATATTTTTATAGAAAAATTATTGCAGAATTGTATAAGAAGAAAAATCGAACAAAATTGATTTTTTTCATTACAGCGCCATCTATTTCAAATATGGAAAAATGTTTTAGACAAAATCTACCTATTTTTAGTCGAATGATCCATATCTGCAATCAAAAATAGGGTGTTCCATTGGAAATTTTAAAGTTACCCCCCTGTCCCCCCTATAAGGAGCAGAGTATGAGGACCAATTTTAGTACTGATTGATTTCCCCCCTTGAATTATTTAATTTTTATTTTAAATTTTTTTTCGTAAAATGCATACTACCTGAGATATTTCAACGTTTCAAGTTAAATGACTCACCCTGTATATGTACCTATACTTTACCTAATTGAAAATAAATTAATTTTTGAACAATAATAATTATTGTTCAAAAATTAATTATTACCTTCTTGTTGTTTATGTTGCTTGTAAACAAAGTAATGATTAAAAATACTACTCAACCTGTATTATTTTGTTTTTATAGCCATAAAATATTCTTAAAGTTGAAAATGTCCCTCTGTACCTTAAATCAGCAAATTTCAGCAAGAACAGAAAATGTCATTAGAAAGAAGGAAACATTTTGGCCTAACACTCAACTGGTCTTTTTCGGTCTTCATAAACGTAAAATTGCATTTAATTTAAAATTATAATTTAGACTGAAAATGACATGCTTTTAAATAAGGGCTGTTATAACCCCTTTGCTAATTTTTTTGCGGTAAAAATTACATCAAACGATTCTCCAAGAAACAATCTTTCATATTTTGTCAACCATAATTAAATACCACGCTAATAAAATTGCAATTTTTATTGCAAAAAAATGGTCTATAGAACATATTAAAATAGGCAAATTTTTCGTTTTTTAAGTGGCTATATCTTCTTAAGATTTGGAAAAAAGTTGACTGGACTATATCTGAAAATTTAAACCATATCTAAACAAGTCAACTAAGTTCGTTTTTCCATCAAAATTGGCCAGTGTGCGCCACTGCCACAACAAAGCAGTATACTATTGTACCACTAGTTTCTTGTTCGACAGTTTTTTAGGTTTCTTAGTAATCCTGCTAGTGGATATGTGGTACACAAGTAGGGTTGGGATAGTTGAAATTTTCAAATGAAAATTTCAACTTTGAAAGTTTCAAACTTGAAATATTTCATTTAGTTGGAAAAGTGAAATTTTTAAAAATTTCAAATGAAATTTTCAATTCGAAAATTCCAACATTGCCTGTGAAACTTTCAGAAATTTCATTGAAAGTTTCGCAATTTACTGAAAATTTCGCATAAATTTCACATGCGGCCTCCCCTGGGACCTTTAATAATAATTTACAACAGATTCCGAATCGACCAATAAGAACGAGTTATCAAGCGTCTGGGCGTTTTTGTTCAGTTCGGCTTGGATTTGAATACACTATAAGTAATTATTGTTACTTATATTCATAAATTAATTTTAATAATTTAATTCAGTTACCAATTTAATTTGTAAATTAAATCACACTTTAAATTTTTTTTAAAAGTCATGATTAATTTAAACTTTTACTTTTGCTATAATTGCATCGGAAAACGGATAAAAAATGCCTTTGGCTCATAAAATTTTGATGAAGTTTCTTCAATTTTTGTAAAATTTCAGTAAAATATATAAAAATAATAAATATATATAAATATAAAACAATGAGTGGCACAATCTCATTAGCTTACCAAAAAGTGCTATATCTCTCTTAGTTTTAGTAATTTTCAAAATATTTTATTATCTCTGAAATTTCAGAGATTTAGGAAATTTTAATAAATTTCATAAATGTGAAATTTCAAGTACAAGCAAAAAGTGAAATTTTCCCAACCCTATACACAAGGATTAAAGTTAAACCAATCAAAGAAACATAGCAACTCGTCCAAAACTTTAGGAGAAATCTCAACAAAACTATAAAAAATACATTACCAGCAATTCGCGAAAGCAAACAGGTTGTTTGAATTACAAATTCGCGTTTGCTTGTAAAAAGTGACCGACTAAATATCGATTTACATTATGTCATTGGTCAAGATGATTGATAATTCGTTGGCAAGTTAAAGAAGGCAATGACGAGCGAACAAAAGGCCGAATTTGCAAACTCGTCATAGGAGGCGCTGCTTCTTGTCTCGCTCAGCCGCCTTGATCGAAAATATTCCGAAATCTTGATAGCCATAACATCTATAAGGTTTTGCCTGGCAAACGCTTATAATACGTTGTTGTATCATAATAAAATATACCGTTGAACGGTTATTCATTTCGACCTCCCGCTACTTAAGACGACAAATTTTAGAGGCCGTTTCGAGAAATACGCATTTGCTAAGTTCGCAAATGGGGCGCGATAATATCTTTTAAATTAATATTCATGATGGTTTTCCTTGTACGCCTTCAAACTGATACGTACACTCAACAGGACGATAGATAAAAGAAATATATTTCGTTCCCAACTGACCACTTTTATTTTTCACAGATACCAAACAGCAGGGGAAAATTTTCCAGACATAAACAACCAGCCAACCAATTTTGGTAATAAATATTAGGTCTGCAAATTATTCACACGGGTCTACAACATTTTAACAAAACTCTATTCTTGAAATCACCCCTGGATTCTAAACCGACGTCCATCACGAAATATTTGTAAAATAGTACATTCTGTAACAAGTTTGGAATACAGCATATTCCGCTCGAGAAAAAATTTGACACACGAGCCGAAGGCGAGTGTGACGGTTTTACGAGAGTGGAATATGCTATTCCAAACGTGTTTCAGACATTATTTTCTCTACGACTACGTAAGAATAGTAACGCTTATATAATTTTAAACAGAGAAAAGAAACCAAGCAGTTTTTGACATTTAAGTTTTTGTATTGTCAAACCATTTTGTGCCGTCACAATTTTATAATGTAAATTATAATAAATTTAAACAAATGGTATGCCTAAATCTTTATTATAATTAAAAATAGTTATTTACACTAACTAATAAAAAAAATAACATTGTAACAAACTAAAATTAAAAACTAATTTTACAAGTAATCTATGTCAACATCTATTCTTCTTCTACATTTTAAAGGTCTTTTTTTAAACTTTTTGAATCTGTCAAAACTTCAAAGCCGGTATAGTAGGTAACTGGTTTATCATTTTAATATCAAATTTATTATAATTTTTATTTGTATATTTGAAAAACAATAAATATAACTAATTTTTTGTGCCTAAACCTTAATTATACAACTGCTATTATTTTTTAATTAATAAATAATACAGTAATATTTAAATATTTTTAATTTTTGTACGTTTAGTAAACAGCCAGGAGATGTCGTTACTTGTGACCATTCTTAAACAAGAGTAGGAATATTCTCGCACAGTATTGCAGAAAAACATCCTTTCTATGATCAAAATTACACTAGAATGTTACTATTCTTAAGTAGTCGTAGAGAAAAATATTTCTACTTTTGGGTTAAAAAGGGATTAGTATTGGAAATTTGGCAGTATTGCATTTTGAAATTTGACAACATCGTATTGTAAAAAATTTAAAACATCGTTTTTGAAAATTTGTTGACAACGTTTCATTTTGTAAATTTTGCAACATCGCAATTTGAAATTATCAAATGTAGAATTGTTGTATTTAATTTGTCAACATCGCATTTTGTAAATTTGACATTTTGTAAATTATTCAACAAATTTTAAAAAACCCATTTTAAAAATTATCGCTATTAGAAATTTGGCAACTTAACTCCATCACAAAATATTTTTTTCAGAGAAAAAGTTCTTTATGATGTTGATGAGTTTTATAAAAAAAATATTTTTGGGTTAAAAAAGGAAAAGTCCGATTAGTTTCCGAAATTATCTGATTAGTATTGGAAACGTATATTTTACAATGCTTGAGATAATCTGACAACATCGCACTTTGTAAATTTTGTAACATCGCGTTTTGTAAATTTTACAAAATCGCATTTTGAAAATTTAACATCATGGCTTTTAGAAATTTGACCTCCATCGCAATATTTTTTCCAGAAGAGAAGCCTTTTATGATGTAGTTTCGTAGAAAAAAATAATTTTTGGGTTAAAATTTCTCAAAAACCCAATTAGTATCGGAAATTATTCAAATAGTGTTGGAAACGTTTATTTTACAACGCTTAGCAAAATTTGGCAACGTTGTATTTTAAAATTTGTCAACGTAGCATTTTGACATTTGGCAACGTTGCATTTTGAAAGAAATTTTAAAATGCAACGTCGAATTTTGAAAATTGGCAACATCGTATGTTATAAATTTGAAAAAATCGTTTTTATAAATTTGACAACGTCGCATTTTGTAATTTTGGAAATGTGTTTTTTAAATCTGACAACATCACTTGTTGTGGATTTGACATGTAATGTAAATGTAAATGTAAAATATTTAAATTTTAAAAATTTTAAAAATTATAAAATTTGGCAACACGTTGTATTTTAAAATTTGACGACATGGTATTTTGAAATTACGACATGACCTTTTAAAAATTATAAAACGTTTTTTTTTAAATTTGTCAACATCGCATTTTAAAATTTTCCAAATTGTTGAATTTTAAATGTGGCAACGCAATGTTCTAACATCGCTTTTAGAAACTTGGCAACGTGGCATTTTGTAATTGTTACGATATAGCACTTCAAAATTTTTGAAACGTTTTTGTAATTTGGCAAAATCGCACGTTGCACATTTGACAACGTCGCATTTCGTAAATTTTGCAACATAGCATTTTGAAACTTGGCAAAGCTATTACATTTGTCAACATCGCATTTTGTAAATCTGACAACGTCGCATTTTAAAAACTTGAAATCATCGCTTTTAGAAATGTGGCATTTTAAAATTTGGCAGCGTCGCATTTTGTAATTTCGATCGCATGTTGTATATATGACAATGTTGCAGTTCGTAAATTTTGCAACATAGCATTTTAAATTTTCCAAATCGTTGAATTTTAAAATGTGGCAACGCTTTATAATGTTTTAACATCGCTTTTAGAAATTTGGCAACGTCGCATTTTGTAATTGTTATAGCATTTCAAAATTTTTGAAACGTTTTTTGAAATTTGGCAACATTGCACATTTGTCAACATCGCATTTTGTAAATCGGAGAACGTCGCATTTTAAAAACTTAAAATCATCGCTTTTAGAAATTTGGCATTTTAAAATTTGGCAGCGTCGCATTTTGTAATTGCTACGATATAGCATTTCGAAATTTTTTAAACGTTTTTGGCAAAATCGCACGTTGAAAATTTGACAAAGTCGCATTTCGTAAATTTTGCAACATCGCATTTGAAACTGCAAAGCTATTAAATTTGTCAACATCGCATTTTGCAAATCTGACAACGTTGCATTTTAAAACTTGAAATCATCGCTTTTGGCATTGTTGTATTTTAATTTGGCAACGTACCTCCATCACGAAATATTTTTTTCTAAATACTTTTAGAATGAGTTTTCTTATAACATATTTTTACCTTAAAATTTCTCAAAAACCCAAACTGATGGAGCAATTGCAAAGTCGGATTTTAATGCAGATTATCAAAAAATCCTTTGAAAGGAATAGTCTGATTTAGACTGGTGAAACTGTGTAATGTATTTCATTTGAAATACAAATTTTTAACATGTTAAAAAGGTTCTTTCTTTCTTTCTTTTTTAACATACAATAGTAACATTTAAAGACTATAGAAAATCATCAAAATTATTTTAAGCAGTTAAAGAGATTCGAAAAAACGATAGAAGATCAGAGAAACCAATATGCCACTTAATTAAAGATCGTGTATCTAGCAATCCTCCCTAATATGCATATTGGAGCGGGCAGCGATTAAGAAGGCTAAAAAAAATAATTCCAATTAATGCGTCTGGTAAAACAAAAAAGAGGCGATCGAAAGGCAAGAGGCCAATAAATCGTGACACGAAATCGGTTGTTAAAAGGTGACAGAAGTTAACTTACACAGTAATATCAAACTGGGATCTCGACGGGCCGCTCCGTATAATATGATTTCATTTAAATGCATGTGCACCATATACCCGTAGGATTCGTGACCGCAAAACCGCGGCGCTTCCTCTGCCTAGAAGAGATTAATAATAGATAACACACCGAGTCTAGATCCTATCGGGATTCAATACAAAACGGGTAATTAATAGGGCAAAAAATTTGTTCACCACGCTCTTTGATGAGTTTATTAACGTAACTCGACTTGGCAGCTTCGTAATGATTAAATTACCCAAGTTTACCCATTATTTACATATTATCTAAAGGTTAGTTGTATAGGCTATAACACCAATGTCCGTTATTGTTTATTTTACAAGCATACTTATTTCTGCTAACTGGACCATTTGGACCTCTCATACATTTATGAAGTTGGACCTCATCGACTACTATCTGTTTCCAAACTTAAAGAGGAGGACCAGACAAAAAAATTTACCTCCAATAAAGATTATACAATGGAAATTAAAGAATAGTTCAGAGAGGCGAACTAAGAGATTTATTTGGAAGCCCGAGTCAAAATTTAGATCGTAATTTAAACCGTAATTTAAAGCGACTTTTTCATGCGAGTGTTAAAGTTGCTTACGAGGCCGCCAGGCCGAGTGTGCATTAATACGAGCTTGAAAAAAGCTTTTCTCACAAGTGAAACACAATGTTTTTTCTACGACCCTTTTATTATATAGGAAAATGAAGATCAACATTTTTTTTGCTTAAATTTACGTTTGGTTGGATTTTTTATAAATGTTTAGAGTTTTGTTTACTTACATTTAAGACAGGCAGTGTACTTTTTGATTTTTTTTACGTTTTTTTTCAGAAAAATGTGTTTAGCTAGCTTTATATGTCTCCACTGTGTGTTATCAATTTGAAATCAAAAAATTAATTCAATAAAAAAGTTGTTATAAAAATAATTTGAAATAAAATGTACTTAGTTCACAAACTTTTGACTCCAATTTTTTATTTTATTTTTTATTAAGAATTGTATGCTTTTTTTCAAGTATTTATGTTCGTTAAGTTACTTTTTAAAAGAAACCATTCCGATTCTTTAAAAAAAAACAATACCATTAATATTTTCTTTTAGTCACTGTATTAGTGAGTTAAACTCTAATTTATAAACACGTATTACCAAGTGATAGTGTATAAAAATCATTTTAAGTATTTTTTTTAACAAACACTAAAAAAAGTAACGAAATATACATTGGTATACAAAGGACTTAATCAGATAACGTAAAAAAGAAACTATATAGGGTGGTACGATTTTAGAGTAATGCATAAACAAAATCCCTTGTAGTGGCACTCACTTGCACAATAACAACTTAGATTTCTAAATTGTAGACACCCTTTTTCTTTGACTATAAGCTGGTGAAGATCTTGCGTCCCTTTTAGTACTTGTATATTGCGTGGAATTTTCCCTTGGATGTAATCTATATCATGAGTTGTAATCACAAATAATTTTAAATTGGTTTATCATAAACTACTTTTAATAAAAGCGACGGTAAATATCCACTTTGTTGTCGAAAAATTCTATTGCGTTACCCTAAATTCCATTGCGTTACTATAAGGTAACATAGTGGACTCGGTAACGCAGTGGACAAAGTTTTGTAAAACCATATTTAAAAAATAATAATAAGACATTACATTCATTAATTACTCTCAATGAGCTTTAGTGCCCTAAAATAAACATTAACATGAAAAATAGTATTTTTTCTTACCTTATTTTTATTATTTTTTTTGAGTAACTTAGCGGACAAACAATTATTACATTCGCGTTACCCGCACCTGTTTCAACCGATTTCTTCCTGATTAAATAAATAATTTCAGCTGGGTAATGTGTACGTACGAACATCATTTGTTGATCACGTGAGTGCCAAAAAAGTTGCCATAATATGTTTTTTTTAATATTCTATCGGTAACGCGACGGACGTAACGCAACGGAAAAAATGTCTGGGAGTCAAATTTAGAAAAAGTATATTAAAATTAATTAATTTGTGATTTAATATTTGTAAAACCAAAAACGTTACCTTTTTACTCCAAAAATGACTATAAGGAGATGTACTTTTTTTGCCATTGAGGCATTTGGCATAACTTCATCGAAATTAAGTTTTTACCTTAAAAGTTCTTTTACTATAGAATCTGATATTTTTTTGGCATAGTTATCTTTTTATATCGATATTATATAATAATTAACAATTATCAATAATTCAGCGTATTATCTAGACTTGGACTATTATTTGTTTCCAAAATTAAAGAACAACTATGGAAATTAGAGCATAGAGAATTATTTGTAAAAAAGTATATAGATTTTTTTTTTCATTTTAAAATAATAATTAAGATTTTGTTACAAATAATTTCTAAATTCTCATGTTATAAAAGGTCAGCATTTTTCAAATTGTTTGACTTATCAAGGAAATCTACCGTTTTCAATGAACTTTTCATAAGATCTCCTGTAACCTATAAGCACTTTTTTTATTTTGGTAAGTAAAGGTTTAACATAATTCCTACCTACCAAAGAATTTTGTGCTTTACCTACCGCCATTGCCTAAGGCGAATACGGTTGCGTGATTGAATTGCTTAAATCAAGGCCCCTGCCTATTTTTTTTGTGAACTATGCTTGATAGTAAATATGCTGTGATATATTGTAATTATTTTTAATCGGGTTTCGGGGCATGGCAGCGTTTTTTGACCTGGACATTCAGTAATCTGCCAATAGAATTTAGTTTGAGAAGGATGCGAAACAATCTGAATTTAAAATTTATTTTTGTTAAAATATCAAATTCTTTTGATTAATAAAAAATCGATTAGTTATCGAAAGTATTCATTTGGTATTGAACATTGCATATTTTTTAACAGTTGACGAAATTTGTCAACGTTGAATTTTAAAATTTGGCAACGTTGCATTTTGAAATTTGGCAACGTCGCATTTTGAAATTTGGCAACGTCGCATTTTGAAATTTGGCAACGTCTCATTTTGAAATTTGACAACGTTGCATTTTGAAATTTGGCAACATTGCATTTTAAAAGTTGGCAACGTTCCAATTTAAAATTAGGCATTTTAAATACTTGCCAAGGTCGCATTTTGTAAATTTTGCAACATAACATTTTGACAGTGAAATTTGGCAACACCGCATAATATGGTAAATATTGTAAATTTCGCAACATCGCATTTTGAAATTTTATTTAGCATTTTTTTTGTATTTTTATATTTGTCAACGCTTTATATTTTAAATTTTTTTCATCACATTTCGTAAATTTTACAATGTTACAATGCATTTTAAATTTAAATTTGACATTAGGCAACATGGTATATTTTAAAATTTGACAAAGTTTTTACGACTTGAAATTTTAAAATAGCCAAATTTGCAAACGTTTTTGAAATGTATTAACCTCGCATTTTGAAATTTTCCAAATGTAGAATCGTTGTTGTTTTTAATATTGGGAAACGCTATATTTGAATCAAATTTGGCAACATTGCATTTTGTAAATCTGACAACTTTGCATTTGGTAAATTTTATTTTGCATTTTAAAAATGTTACATCATCACTTTTAGAAATTGTCGTATTTTAAAATTTGGCATGGTACTTGGGATTCCGTAAAGAGAAAATTCACCTTAAATGTATGTGAATAAACATGTAGGTTTATTTTAAATAATAATTAAATTTAATTAAGAATCGGCTATTAATTAATGACCTAATAATAATGCTATGCCTAATTAAAGGACTTTCACAAACTTACCTACATTACAAAACTTTTAAATAAAAAAAGAAATACATTCTTCCAGAAATGAGCAAACTAAAAATTCAGAGAATGTGTAGTTACATAAAAAATCGCATTAATTAGAAAAGAAGAAGATTGCAATTTAATTTTTTGCGGTTAATCAAGAAAAAGTCAAATTAGATACATTTCACTTCAGTTCTTATTTGGGTTTAATTTGCCGAAGTGCGTTTAAGAACAATTATAGTTTCACAATGGACAAACCAATTTTATGCATTTCTAATCCAATTAAACGAACCCAACGGTTTTAGAAAAACCAATGGGTTCAATTAATTATCGTTTTGTTAAAAAAAAAACTGACCGGAAAAGAGATTGATCACGAAACTGTAGAAAATTAAATAAAAACTATAAACTGTTGGTATAATATTTATTTATCTTTGAAAAATTGCCCACAGTACAGCATTGAGAATAGTCGGCTGTCTAACAAAATTCACTTAAATGTCACTTCAGTGCTCAGTAAATGATGTAAATTATTAACAATAATTTTATAAATTGTCCTCGTTTGACAAAAGGGTTTATGACATGAGTTCTTTATGCTATTTTATCTATTTTGCAAAAATTCTATAAAAAAATTAATTTTATACCTTATAGTTAATTTGGTCGAATTTTACTTTAGATAGTTGGTATTACAGTCATTGGCTTGAAGGGTTAATGTCAAAATCGATTCGCCATGGCGTCCTTAATTTACTTATTTACAATAAGCGGATGTTAATGTTAAAGAAGAAAAAAAGGATTTTTTTGGTGTTAAACAAAATGTATTGCCAGAAAAGTCTCGTAAGTACTAGAAAAATCATAAAAATATTATAACCAATATGCAAAATATTATTTTACTAGTAAGCTGTTTAAAGTAGCCACCGAAAGCGGTGTTACAATGAAGTCATTATAAACGCAAATAGATAAAATATATTACCAGAAATCTGTTATTATTGTTATTTGGATTTCCTATACCTGGGTGGGCCGGTTTTAATATTTTTCAATTATCAAATTGTTCAATGGTGGAAAAGTTTTTCACTTATAAGGCCAGAAAAATAGTATATTACGATTTTTTTTTAAATTTTGATTCCTTAAACTGCCACAAGGCCTTGAAAGTTCTTAATATAATAAATACGAAAAAAATTATCTGGGAGAAAATAGGATCAAAAAAAGTTTTGAATGATAATTATTTTTGAAAAGAACGAAAACAAAAACGACGTTATCATCAACACAATTTAATTTAGTTAAATTTATAATCCCTTTTTGAACCAAAAGAGGGCATAATTTTGCGTGATTTCAATTGACGCTGTCACAATATTTTAATTTATATAAACATTAAAGCCAACTATCATTACGTCAAACACGAAAATCTTAAAAAATATTTATTTTCCATTTCACGCCTTTTTTCAATAATTTACCGTTTGTAACTTCATGCAGTTCAAAACATTAAAAAAAATAGTTTACTTTTCAAAACATTAAAAAAAAATAGTTTACTTTTCTGTTTCACAACTTTTCCGCTTATGCAGAATTTTTTTTTTAATTACTTTTAAATTTTAGAGGCGTTGTGGCAGTTCAAGACATAAAGATATAAAAAAAAATATTTTGCAAAAACTGTTTATTAAAATTTTTCTAACTGAAATTAGGGGATACAGTGAAGTGGGTTAAAGTTAAGAAATACATCAGTAAGTGTAGTTGTACGTACTACAGTTAGTATTATATTGTACCAATTTTCAGAATTGTGTATGTGTTAATTTTTTTGTTTGGGAAATTGATTAATAAAGCAACATTTTTTTATCAAAATTCTATTCATTTAAGTTCCCAATTTCCAACACTACTTTTGTTACTGGGTCTACAGAAAGGATTGTAAAAATAAGGTCCTTTTTAAAAATTACAAGAATTATGGTTGAATTACATATACATCAAATATGGTTAATATTTGGTTACTGTGTTGAAATGTCCATGTCTTTAAAATTTGCATTCAGTTATTTTTTTTTAATCCACAATTCCATACTCTCTTAAAATGAATTAATCAAAAATAACTAATTATAAGTCATATTTGACTAATTGTCATATCGAAAAAGCAGTCACTAATAATTTGTCAAATTCTACTAAATAAAATAGTAAAATTAGTATATTTAAATTTAAAAAAGTTTTGACCCAGCCGGGGATTGAACTCAGGTCTGTCGCTCGTCAAGCTTGTCAAGCTGTTGTCATCACCAATGTGGCTATCAGTCACTCTTATAAAAATCAATATTATTTGACAATAAATATGGTTAATAATATTTTAAAGTTGATTATTTCCCTTATTATAATATGAACCAATCAAAAGCCTTGAATTTTCGAATAAATTTCGTTTAAATAAACGATTAAATCACTAGAACTATTTAACAGCAATTAAATATTAGCCTTCATATTGGATTTTTGTTTACGATTTTATGGTGTTATTTACAAGTTTTAAGAAACATTTTTTAAAAATCAATAAAAAATAAGTTATCTAGTTTACGAAATATCAATTATTACTTATTACATACCTTAAATTAATGGAATTTTCTATTTATAAATTTTGACACATACGTCAGATTTTATGAATTGTCAAACAGTTTCCTTTAATTCGAGAAATAATCTAGACGTATATCACTCAACCTATAAATTTAATCTGTCAAACTATGCTCAGTAAGTTTTTTATTTGATTTTTTTTTTTGGAAAATAGTTTCATGCAAAATAATTAAAAATAAAACCCCTCGACCGCTACGCGGTCTCGTGATTTTATTAAATTATTTTGCATTCAACATTTTCCAACAAAAACCAAACAAAAAACTACTGAG